GCGGAACATAACTACACGACGACCGAGAAAGAGTGTCTGGCCATCATCTGGGCTATCAGGAAGATGCGCTGTTACCTGGAGGGCTACCGATTCGAGGTCGTTACTGACCATTTGGCCCTCAAATGGTTAAACTCTATTGAGAGCCCTTCCGGCCGAATAGCGCGCTGGGCCTTGGAATTGCAACAGTTTCAATTCGACGTGCGCTACCGACGAGGGAAGTTGAATGTCGTGGCCGATGCTCTCTCGCGACAGCCCAGGGACGTACTTCAGGGTGCGGTGGAGATCGAGGGCCAGTGCGAATGGACTAGGAAGATGAAAGAGAAAGTACGCGACGAGCCCGAGAAGTTCGCCGATTATACACTCGAGAACGGCCAACTCTATAGGAATATGGGTCACAGAGCCGACGACGAGGACTACTTCCCGTGGAAACTCTGTGTGCCCTCTTCCCAGAGAGCCCGTGTCTTATACGAGTGTCATGATTCCCCAACCGCAGGACACTTGGGGGTCCGAAAGACGATCACCCGACTGTCCCAGAGATATTTCTGGCCCGGCATGTACCGCGACGCCAAACACCACGTGCGGCGCTGCGAGTCTTGCCAGAAATTTAAGACCATTCAGACCAAGGCCGCCGGAAGAATGTTAACTCGGGTCGTGAGCGAACCCTTCGACATTCTCTGCGCTGACTTTGTAGGCCCACTTCCCCGATCAAAACAAGGGAACTCTATGCTCTTGGTTTTCCACGACGTGTTCTCCAAATGGGTAGAGTTGATCCCGACCCGGAAGGCCACCGCTGCGGTGGTGCAGAAAGCGTTTCGAGAACGCATACTCGGACGGGTGGGCATCCCCCGGAAGTTCGTGTGCGACAATGGGACACAGTTTACAAGTCGGGCCCTAAAAGACTATTTCACCAAGCTCGGCGTGGAGATCCAGTACACGGCCCCGTATTGTCCCCAGGAGAATCCTACCGAAAGAACTAATCGTACTGTGAAGACGCTGATATCTCAGCTGTCGGAGGACGACCAAAGCTCTTGGGATAATATGCTGCCGGAGATTTCCCTCGCAATCAACAGTAGTGTGTCGGACTCGACGGGGTTTACTCCAGCATTCCTCACTCAGGGACGGGAGCTACGCCTGCCTGCGATGCTGTACGACGAACTCACTCCTGGATCGGCGGCCGTGCATGCGGACCCCGAAGACAAGGCGTCGCATCTTCAAGGAATCTTCGACATCGTACGGTCAAACCTTCAACGTGCGTCTCTAGAGCAGGCAAGGCACTATAACCTTCGGAGGCGCGAATGGAGACCTACGCTCGGGAGTCAGGTATGGTTGCGACAACACCCCTTATCGAAAGCGGCTGAGGGATTCGCCGCCAAACTTGCTCCTAAGTATGACGGCCCCTACACCGTCGTGAAGTTCACCTCTCCGAATCTGGTACGACTGCAGCGCTCGGGAGATCGACGGCGACGGATCGCCAATATATCGCAGCTTAAACCCTACTACGCGGCGGACACCGCCGACCCGATTGAGGACAGCACCACCGGGCCAAATAGCCCGGCACGGTAAGCGTCTGGAACCACGGAATAACTTTAAGATCCATGCTTGTAATAGGTTAAGATTAATGAGTCCTTTGTTAGCTACACCGTTAGGTAGGAAGGTCGGAAGGTAGGGTTATATCAATACGTCGAGTGCGAATAGCCGCCGGAACGGGCGCCTATAGGTGCACCGTCACTATCAAGAGCGACGGACGCCTCTACATCGCGCCGCGGGAAGGAAGGGGGGGGTGTGACGGACCCACCTAGAGGGTGTCCGCCACAATTACCCCTATCATAGTATTTAAGAGAGATACCATGAAGTCAATTTGTTATTAGTTTTTAAGAGAAATTCCATGAATTACGTTAAATAAATAGTAATAAGTTATAACTAGGTTCCCGGGTGGCAACGCCAACCGATATTTAGCCAAGACAAATTCAGGTTCCAGGGTGGCAACGCCAACCGATATTTAGCCAAGACACCCCACATACTAGAAATCCCAACCTAGGATACTAAAGTAGAAAAATACTAGAAATCCCGAAAGCGGGAAAAAGGGAAAAGGGAGAGGGGCACACAGGAAAAGGCTCTCTTCTCTCGGGATCGCGGAACGGGCAAGACGTGTGCTCCGGACTTTTTCCCTTCGCAGGCAGAGGATCGCGGGATAGGCCAGCTCAGACGCCTAACGCGAACGTTCCCGGATTTCTAATCGCGTGTGTTCCGACAGTTCGAGGTAGCGAGGCTCTACTCAGTGTTTCGCGGGTGATCGCAAGAAGGATTGTATAAGAGAAGGACCTGTCGAGGTTAGTACGACTAGGATCACATGTGGTCAAAGCGGTGTAGCGGACTCAAGTGAGGGTAATTTGAATAAACGGTAAAGAATATATGATCGCACATCTCGACCACGTGTTTTTCCTTTCCTAACCTCATTTTAATTGCCGTTTTGAGCCCGAACGCGGACACCCCTCCCGTTCGGCACAGTAGTCTTATTCCTGTTCGGGGTAAAACATTATCGTAGCACCACTGGACCTGAATGTGGACTTCTCCCATTCGGTTCGGTAGTTTTCCTCACCTTTCCCGTAGTTTTGGGATTTGCGCGCGGACCCCCGTCCCGCCATATCCGTTTTCCTAGTCCTCTCGCCTTTTCGGTAGTTTTCCTCACCTTTCCCGTAGTTTTGGGATCTGCGCGCGGACCCCCGTCCCGCCATATCCGTTTTCCTAGTCCTCTCGCCTTTTCGGTAGTTTTGGGATTCGTGCGTGGACTTCCGTCCCGCCCTTTCCGTAGTTTCGGGTTTTGCGCGTGGACTCCCGTCCCGCCTTATCCGTTATCATAGTTTTCCCGCTCTTTCCGTAGTTTGGGATTTGCGCGCGGACCCCCCGTCCCGCCTTTTCCGTAGTTTTGGGATTTGTGCGTGGACTCCCGTCCCGCCTTATCCACAACCCTAGCTTCCCTATCCCCGCCGTAGGGTTGCAAGGCTCGCACGCGGACACCCGTCCCGGCCGGTCGACTGAGCCTAACCTTCTCGTCCTCTTACTACCCAACATACTACCCCAGTATCCTTCCCGGCTCGGCCTCGCCCGAAGGTCCAGCCCGGCGGATTTCCTGCCCTGCCACAAGACCCCGCGAAATATCTCTCCCGGCTCGGCCTCGCCCGAAGGTCCAGCCCGGTGGATTTCTTGTCCCGACTCAAGACGCGGTACTCTACGCCCGCGAAGCATTCCTCCCGGCTCGGCCTCGCCCGAAGGTCCAGCTCGGCGGATTTTTCACCGCCGACGCCCGCAAGATACGCTCCCGGCTCGGCATTGCTCGAAGGTCCCTCAGGGAATAGGGCTCTACGCAACCAACGTCGTCTGCGTTTTCCTCGACGCGGATAAAGCTCTTCGGCGAAGACTCCTTCAAAACTACCCGTTCATCTGTGGAACGGAAACCCCTAGTCCGGTGTTTCGGTGATTTACAAATTTCTTGTAAAGGACTCTTGGATACGACTGAGATTTGTACCCCGGCCGAGAAAACATCCTTACAATATTAATTTTAAAATCTTGATACATTACAAAATATTCTTGTTAATAAACATAAATAACTTCAGACTCTGACTTTTGAACAGAGGTTAAAGCAAAGACATAAAATATTGTAATAAAAAACATTGTATATAATAATATAGTAGCAGTTCGTTATGACCTTTTTAAAAATATATAAATAAGTGGGCAGTTAAAATCTGATGCGGTTTTAAAAAGATTTCTTGACCATAAAAAACACCAGTAAAACTTTTATACAGCTTATGATTTATGGGATTAAAAGCAAGAATGATCGCCGCAATTATTTCGAGAGTTGCTGGCGCCAGCAACTCGAAAACAGCGACATCTGTTGCGATCTATGAACTGGGCTTGTTTTATTACAAAACATTGTCGAGGAGCTCTGCGGACTCACACATAAATTGAACAATGTCACGAAATAAATTTGCTAGAGCTCTCTTGGACTTTGGTGGTGGAAAAGGAAGCCGAAACAAAGACAAAACTGTTTCAGCCAAACGTCTGTTAACGTTGGCTGATTTTTATTTATTTCGCTGACTTTTAGCAAGTTGCTAACTTTTTGTTTCTTCTCATTTTACTGCTACACCTCCCACACCGCCCCCTTGCCAACTTCCTAACTCTTTGACTTTGTTGCCGCTGCCTTTTCGTTAATTTATGCAACGAACCAGTTTTGTTTGGTTTCCATCGCGTTCGCTCAGTGTCAGCCAATCTTTGTATATCTCAACACACATGTATATATATCGAATTAAAATTTTATTAAAACATTGGCATTTGGCCGTTTGCTTTTGCGTTAATTGCATTTGCAATTTCTAATTAAGTTGGTTTGGCAAAAACAAAAAAGGGAAAAAAAGAAGTCAAGAAGAAATAACAAAAGCAGCGATCATAAAGTTTCCAACTGGTTTGGGTCAGCGGTCTTGTCAGAGGTCTTTTTTCGAGCGGATCTCTGGTGACTTTGCTTGGCTTTTGCCGTTAATTTTTACACGGAGAGAAAATGTTTAAAAATATAAAGAAATTTAGAAAGCAAGTTCTTTGATAGTAATATATAAACCAAAGTGTGTCCTGGTTACATGTAGCTAATTTTAGCATATATAAATATTCAATTCAAAGGCAAACTTAAATTATTTTCGATCTGTGGCTTTAAATTAAAATTATTATTCATTAAAATCCATGAATTACAAATTTTTTTCTTCAAAAACATTAAAGAAAAAATGTAAAAAATACAATTTTAAAATTTGTATTTTAACTCTGAAGTATTTTTGAATATATTTTTCCCAGTGCACCCACAGTTCAATGCAAACGAGAAGCTCTAAGCCGCGGCGAGCTGAATCAGCTACCAGTTTTTTTCGCCTCCTCCCTGGGACCATTAAATCGAACAAGTTTCAAAAGCGTTTTCAATGCAAAAGTCTTATCAAAAGTATTTATTTACACAAGCTATATATACAATAAATCAAAGCGGTCTGATTGATTCGCCACTAATCCTGTTTTGTCGATTCCAGTTGATTCTCCTTCTCCTCGCGTCGCTGCTGCCGCTTGGCCTCCTTTTTCAGCTTGGACACGTTGCTCCGCAGTTTCCGCTTGAACAGAAGCTCCCGGTTGACCGCCTTCAGGTCGTCCATGCTGCACGTCTTCAGATTGCGCACCGTATTCGAGATGAGCTCGTCGGTGATCTCGATCTTGGTGCGGGAAAGCCGCAGCTGCCGGGCATTTCGACGGGCCAACTCCACACGGTACAAGAACAGATGATAGGTGACAGTGGGCTTCAGCATCCTTTCGTTCTCCATTGTTCGAGATTTTTTATAACGATTTTTTGGGTGAAAGTACAGACAACTTGTCGCCTTGACTTCTCGTCGCCGAGTGATAACCTCACAATCTTAGTTGCGGTTCTTATATATCTAACTGAACCTTCTATTTGTTACCTGGTTCTACCTGACAGACCAAACAGGTCACTTTGGGTCAGGTCATAACAGGTCAAGTGCTTCTGCTTGTCTCCCCCAGTAAATATTTGTGCCAAAATATTTCATTACCTAATCCCTCCTAATCCCCATTTTGGATCTTAAGCCTTCGCTCTCGGTTGACCAGACATTATTACACTTAATGTCAAGGGAAAGGAAAGGGAAAGGGTAAGTAAAAGTGATTCCAGGATTAAATAGGGGAAAATACAGTTGTGCATCTCGCACGAGCTTGTTTGGAAAACTGTACAGAATATTCTGGATCTGGATTAGAGTTTAGAGGAAGGGATTTAAGTAGCCGAACAGATGGCGGAATTTCTAGAACTGTGTTTCATTAATGAAAATATATATGTGGATATAACGAAGTAAGTGAAAAAGATACAATTAATATTTCAATATAAATATTAATAAATTCACTATTTTATCAAATTATATAATAATAAAATATATAAAATAAATATATAAAATCAAGCATAAAATAACTTCTTAGTTAAATAATACATAAATAAAGGGGAAACCATAGAAAGAACTAAAAAACACAGAAGGAAAATAAATATGTTGTTATAAGGAACTACATGAAATATATATTCGCATTATTATAACAGGCATACAAAATTCGTTAAATAATACAAACCCAAAATGGTTTACCATTGCCATGTACATAATTTTGTATGTGGGCCGTTCTTTTACAAACCAAACAGATTTGGCCAAAAAAAAAATTTCACATTTTTGATTTTCCTGAAACTTTTTTTACACGTACTATTCGGAAAATAAGTAAACACGTGTATCAGGATTTAACCGAAAAAAAATTATTTTCCTAGTTATAATTTTTTTAAGTGTGCCAAAAATTGTCAAATTTGAAAAAGTACCCTCTCATTGAAAATCTGTATCTCCGGTTATATGAATCCAATTGACTTCATGTCTTTTGCATTAATTCCTCTAAAACCTCTCCTTTCAAAATAAAATTTCTTAAAAATTTTTTTTTAATTTCTTAAAAATAAAAACAAATTAAGATTTAAAAAAATTTTTTAACTATTGCCCCCACAAAAAAAAATTTTTTTTTATATTAAGACTTGCGCCATATTGTTAGTTACAATCGGTTTTTGTAAAAGTTGGAGCCACTTTTAGTTTTTAAAATATCGAATTTGTTTTAGCAAGGCCTCGGCTTTTTTCTATGAAAAAACGTCACAGCAAGTAGATCTACTCTCTCACTCTTATCGGATCCTAATGGAATTTATGTTTTCTCATTGTTTACTAGTCCTTTAACAATTGTTAATGATTAAAAGTTAAGTTTTAAGTTTTTTGACAATTTCTGAATGACAAAAAGTAAAAAGTCATTTTTTAATCAATTAAAAACTTACAACTATTTATTTAACCGTCTATTTAATAAACAATAATTTTAAATTTATTTTATTTATTATTTTTTTATATTATGTAATTTATTAAACATTTTTAAATATTTTTTTTAAGTTTTTAAAAAAATGTATTTAATAAAAATAAAAAATTATAAAATTTTATTAATTTTTTTTTTAATTTAAAAATAAATATTTAAAAATGTTTAATAAATTACATAATATAAAAAAATAATAAATAAAATAAATTTAAAATTATTGTTTATTAAATAGACGGTTAAATAAATAGTTGTAAGTTTTTAATTGATTAAAAAATGACTTTTTACTTTTTGTCATTCAGAAATTGTCAAAAAACTTAAAACTTAACTTTTAATCATTAACAATTGTTAAAGGACTAGTAAACAATGAGAAAACATAAATTCCATTAGGATCCGATAAGAGTGAGAGAGTAGATCTACTTGCTGTGACGTTTTTTCATAGAAAAAGCCGAGGCCTTGCTAAAACAAATTCGATATTTTAAAAACTAAAAGTGGCTCCAACTTTTTACAAAAACCGATTGTAACTAACAATATGGCGCAAGTATTAAAATAAAAAAAAATTTTTTTTTGTGGGGGCAATAGTTAAAAATTTTTTTAAATCTTAATTTGTTTTTATTTTTAAGAAATTAAAAAAAATTTTTTTAAGAAATTTTATTTTGAAAGGAGAGGTTTTAGAGGAATTAATGCAAAAGACATGAAGTCAATTGGATTCATATAACCGGAGATACAGATTTTCAATGAGAGGGTACTTTTTCAAATTTGACAATTTTTGGCACACTTAAAAAATTCTAACTAGGAAAATATTTTTTTTCGGTTAAATCCTGATACACGTGTTTACTTATTTTCCGAATAGTACGTGTAAAAAAAGTTTCAGGCAAATCAAAAATGTGAGCCAATAAAAGGTGTTCGGTTTGTAAAAGAACCGCCCATGTACGAGTATATAACATTAACAGGGGACAAAACTATTAAACTATCTAAAAAATGTGTGCTAACAAGATGTTTGAGATATTTTATCACAATAAAGAAAATTCTGTTCTGCCTTTGTAATAGCTTTTTCCCACCGCATTTCCAGCGTTGCATTCCCATAAATTCTAAGAATTATTCCCAAGAACTTGTATTTGTACATTGCATTTAGCCCAAAGTAAACCTTTCACCGACCACCGACCATTCCACAGAATTCTTGGGGGAACCTCAACGTGGAACCTCCAGCGTAGAACCTCTAAAAGAATTTTAAAAACCATTTCCAAGTAAGGCACCTGAGTGACATCAACGTAAAGTACCAGCAATTTAAACATGTGTGTGCATGGGACACACGAGATGCGTATGTAAATGTGGATCATTAGCATAACTGCAGTTCCCGAAAGACCCGAAAGACTTTTTGCAACAAACTTAACTACTTCCAGGTAATTCATAATGAAAGTGGATGCTCGGTGGGTCGAGGGTTCCTGCCTCTCAGGTCAAAAGATGGCATAATCCTTTTATAATTGCACTTAGTAGCTGAAATGTAGCGAAAACAAAAGGATTTTCGAAACCGGATTAAGAACTTTGGGAAAGACCACGCGCCGGATTAAGCAAATGTGCAGCATCAGCGTTTTATGACATTGCTCATTTTTCGGTTAGGAGCTAAGGTAAGGTAATCAGCAGGTAGATTTATAGGTAGGCTAAGGTCATAACGGTGGCCCAGGGGCTGGCTAAAAAGGCCAATGCGGGCTAGCAGGTTAGCAGGCATTTTGACCAACTGCTTTTGACAGCTCGCCGACAGCTTCCAATTCAACGCGCTCAATGAACTGGTCTACGAAATGGATTTGGATTTCGATTCGATCTGATGTCTGATGGCTGGGGCACCAAGTCTGTGCGTGTCGAGGCATATATTCCATCGTATATTAAACCAGACGAGACAATCATCATCATCGTAATCATGGCGCATCGCAGCTCAGCACCTCGAGGGCCTTGCATTTAGCACCCAAATGGCCCTTGAATCATCATTTATTTACCACCAAAAAAGAATTACCATAAAATGCGAAGCAACTTTCACTGGTCATTGTTGTTATTGTTATTACCATTATTATTCCCGACTTAATGCAGCTCAATAAATTTTCCCTTTAAAAGAATTTCGAGTTCGATAAGCTCAAAGACAATATAATGGCTAAGGGAATTTTCTTTCACTTTCCTTTGGTCGTAATTAAGTTGAAATTAACTTGATTCGGTGCGTTTTTTAGAGCGGGGGCCACCGCGTGTCAATTACGTTAAGTGAAATTACAATTACATGAAAAGCATTTTTAAAATCATCTAACCAACCCACATTAAATCGCTTTTATGGCGAACAGGAGAGGAGCGGGGGTCAAGCCAAGGTCGCAGACATTCGTTCATACACCCAAAAAATTATTTTTTCTTAAATATAGAAAAATAAAAATTTTCTGGGCTTAAAAAAAGTATTCTATAAAGAGGAAAAATTTTCTAATCTTCAGAAAAATTTTCTAATCTTCAAAAAAATTCTGAATTGAACAAGTTTTTTTAGGAAACATTTTCTGAAATACAGAAAAATCAATTTTTTTCTAAATTATAAGGTTTATTTTTCTAATCTTCCTTTCTTTTTTTGAGGGTTAAAATCGCCATTGATTTTAGAAAAAAAAGACTGAACTTTTCTAAAACTAAAAAAAAATTGCCATCAAAATTATAAATATTTCTACATAATAGAAATATTGTTTTTCTAATAACAGAAAATTTTTTTGAAAATTTTCCTAACATTTAGAAAAAAATGTGTGATATTAAGAAATATTTTTCTAGAAAATAAAAAATTTAACCGTATTTGATCGATTTCCCTTCTTATACACTTTTTAGAAAAGTTTTTTTAGCCTAAGAAAAAATCGCTATTAATCGAAGAAAATTTCCGGGATTGGTAGCCTAGGGGTGTAACGCGTGCGTGCGTGCATATGTTATTCAAGCTTGCGGCTGCAAGAGTGAGTTCAAACCCACGTCGAGACGAAAAACTCGTGGTGTCTTTTTTGTTTTTTTTAACACTAATAGTTACATATTAATAAAAAAAATGTATTGCATTTTTTTAGCTCATGAATAGTTATATTTTGATAAAAATGATGTTTAAGTTTTTCAAATTTGAAACATTCAATTACTGTTACTATTGAACCATAATAAATATAAAAATATTAATATTAATCAATAAATATTTAAAAGTAAAATTAAATGATCAACTAAAAGGAATAACCAGAAGAAAGCCAGATCAATTTGAGTAAAAATAGGAGAACAAAATGTGAATAGACTTTGTACAGCGCCTCACGTGATGCTTCCGTGGCGTAGCTAGTAGAGTGCTTGACTGCAAACTGTGAGGCGCGAGCGGTTAGCGGTTCGAATCCCGCGTGCGGCGACCAAGATGTTTTTCTCAAAATAGTAAGTTATTGGGTTTTAATTTGTAACACTCATTTCAGTTATTATTACAGTTCCAATTTGAAACCGCCCAAGTGCTCAATTAAAGGAAATTCATATAAGGTGTCAAACAAGAACGAAAAAAAAGAGCAACAAGAAACAACCGGGTATAATTCCGAAGCCCGAAAATAGATTTTTGTATTTTCTAAATTTGAGAATTTTTTTTTGTTATTTAAAAAATATTTGTCCATATTTAAAAAAAACATATTTCTATTTTTTAGAAAACCTTTATTTCTAAATTCTAAGAAATAATAATTTTACTTTCTAACAAAATATTTCTAAAGTGCAGTATATTTTTTTTGATTTTTAGAAAAAACGTCTTTGATTTTAAAAACCTACTTTCTTTAATTTAGACAAAATCGCCAGTAAAGCAAATTCATAGGCGATTTTCTAAAACCAAGGGCGATTTCAGTCGATTTTTTTTTTGGGTGTAAATAAATATTTAACACGCAGTCCTTCAGTCGTGAGCTGTTTGGGCAGAAGGCAGAAAAAAGGAGGAGAACGAGTGGACGAGTGCCACTTTGGGATTATATTTATCACTTCATGGCAACTCATTAAATATAAATGTTTTTCATTTGCCGAGAGTTGAGGGAATTTACTTAGTTGCAGTAGGCTTGGGGTAAACATTTTTCAGGAATGGTTTAACTTGAAAGTAATGCTTAAGATGCTAAGGAGAAGCCAAGCAATAAAATTTAAATTTCCTCAAGAGTTGTAAATATCCTTATTGCGAAAGAATTAAATATTAATTTGAGAATGTTTTAAAAATGTAAAAGTTCATTCATATTTATTTTTAATAGAAGGTTGATAAGCGGAGTAGTTTAATAAAGGAGTATACCATATATTTTTGTAAACTATTTTAAAACTATAGTAATAAATATTTCGCTCCAGTAAAATGAAAATAAAAAAAATGCAAATGTATTTATTTAAATATATCTAGTTTTGTCCTAAATTATTTTGAATTAATTTATTTCACTTAAAAATTACATTTATAAATACACCTCATCATCAAAATTAAAACGTAAATACATATCTATTTATTTAAATATTTATATTCGGATTTTCCCAAATAATTTATTCCATTCAAAAATAAATATTATTTTAAAACCATATTTTCATTGACAAATTTTCCATCGTCAAGTGTTGTTCTCTAGTTAATCATGGCTCAAAACGATTGATCACAATCCGCAGACACTTAGTCACCGTATAATCTTCGCCTTATCCCCATATTTATTCAGTGGCCAGTGGCGGCTCAGCTGAAACCGTCTTTAAGCAAAAGGTCAAGCCATAAACATTTTCCATCCGGCCAAATGCCGCGCAACCCACAAACATGACTCAAAGCCACCCACACGTGTGGGTGCAGAAAAGAGGTACAGTAACTTTGGCCTGGGATGTCAAACATCTAGCAACATTTTCAAGGGATCAAAAGGTGGGAGGAAAGGATCTCTGGTTTTACCGAAGCACTTCAGGTAATTACGCGGCGGACACAAGTCAGCAGGTCAGTGTCGGTGGTTCGGTGGGTCAACAGGTAGCTAAGCGCCCCAGATATAAATAATCCTGGCCGAGAGCAACAGGACATCATTCACGGCTCAAGCTGCCAAGCAGTCACAGCTCGCTCTGTCACTCGAGTTACTCTGATATTTCAGTCTCAACCTCAAGAAAGATATAATATCTGGAAATGGAAAGCCAACGTAATAGCAACAACGTCAACCACCGACGCGGAGCTCGTCCGAGCGTGGGCTATCTGCTTTTCCAGTACCAGAGCGAACTGACCCGCCGTCATGCGGAACCCACGCGGCTGTCCCGCACCAAGATCCACATAATCGATGGCCTGGTAAATCGCACCATCCGCCACATGAAGCACTGCAGCATGGAGGATCTGAAGGCCTGCAAGCGGGAGTTGGTCTACAAGGAGCAGCTGCGTGATCAACTGAAGAACATGCGACGCAAACGATCCTCATCCTCCTCCTCCGCGAATGGCAGTAAAAATAGTGCAGCGAACACCAAGGAAAATACTCCACCCATTGTCAAGGCGCCAAGTACTCCACCGAAACCGAAACCCCGATCCTCCACCTCCGGCAAGCCACCCAGGATGGACATCTTCGGGCCAGAGATCTTTGTCTAAGTCCAACTTATTCCATTGCAACCTTAAATTCCTTAGCTAAGCACGAAATTTTACCTTAATTGTTGACGATTAAAAATCATGAACATGATATTGTATATAAACAAAAACATAAAAAATATAATACACAAATTTGAAAAATATATCAACTCTTCTTCATGTACTTTTTGGGCTGAAAAAGTTGGGGAAAATTAATTTTTTGTGATCTTATGTGCTATTTGCTATTTTTAAAAGTGCAAATCGAGTAATATATCCTAATTATTATAATCTCTTAGAAACGCAATGAAAAAATGCTTCAAAACCTTTCAAATACCTTTAAAAATATTCATTTCTGATTAAATAGATTAGGATTTATGTCAAAAAACTGATTAATTGTTTCTAATTATCAGACAATATTTTTACAAAACCACTTTTTTAAGCTTGACTTAATTTTACTAAAACTCAATCGCTAATCACTTTGAACCCCAGGAATTCACGATTAAAAAGCAATAATCCCCTGAAAATTCGAAACCAAAATCACAGAAATAAAACTGGCAATTACACAAAAATGTCAATTGTCGGCGCTTTGGTTGTAGGAGTGGAAATTCCTGTTCTGTAAGCCTGTTTTTGGCTCCGTTTTTGCTATGGCTAGCTAGCCAGGGCTAAAATGTGTGCCGCGAAATGCCAGGCCCCGAACTATCGGGCTCAAGAGTCAAGAGTTCCCACGAAGCAGCGACTTCGATCCATTGAAAATTGGCCACCACTCACCGATCTGTGATAGATGCGTCCGACTGAGAGAGCCAAAGCAACAAGAAAACCAGGCAAGAATGCGGTTTAAAGTTCAATCGTGCATCAAGTGTTATTTGGGGGCTCGCAGAAAAAGAAGGAACATCGATCTATTCGGGGAAAAAAAACGTGACCTGATGATCTAACCGAAGCTTTCTTCGTTAACCAAAACAGAAGTTATGAACCTGCGACGACGACAACCGATATGCAAATCGTCATCTGGAGAAATGTATACTAATGAATATATTAACCAAATCAAGTTCAGATCGGTTCTGACGTTTTCACAATTCGCCTCATTAGCTTTATGCTCGTTTTCGGGGGATATTATCAATAGTTTGTGGGTATTATTTCTCATTTTCTCATCTCGTTTATTAGAATGCATTTGCTTTACCTTTTTGGGTTCCAAATTAAACGTTGAAATATTCCACTTGCTGTACAAATTTGTTGCTTTCTATTTGCATATCGCTGGGTACAATAAATTATGAGCACAATGTTAACTGGGCGAACAAATAGAAGAAGAACCCGAACACACCAAGTGACGTTTTCCTTTCTTTATCGAACACTTTTTCTCTTTTTTTTCTATTTATTTCTTTTTCTATTATTTTTCGGCAAACACTTTTCGAGTGAAATGCAGCTGGTTGCTCTGGTTGTAACTGTAGTTTAGACACAAACACGTTTTCTTGCGGCCATCCAGCCCAGTATAATTACGGCAAAGGCTATTTTAAGGCCCCTCCAAAGCAACCAAAAATATAACGAAAGCCGATCCAAAAAACGAAAAGCCCGAGAAATGCAATCGTTGCAACGCGGCGAAATGGAACGAAAAGCGAGTCGAGTTTTTAGCTGCTTTAAGCTAAAAAAGCCAAAATGCAAATGGTAACACGCACACCGCACTCAACCACACTTACACACACACAAAACGTTCGTTCTTCGGCGAAGAAGAATCGTGTTTATAGATTTTGTTGGATCATATATAGCAGATATATCCAACTGATCGCGTCGCGTTTCGAGCTGCACGACGGTTCACTGACGAATGACCAAAAAGTTTTCAGCTGCCGGACAGCTTGGAGTTCGAAAAGCCCGCCGCTCTGAGTTCGAAAGAGAGCCGCGCTCTCTGTAGAAAGAGATCTCACGATTCTTCGCGTCTCCGAAGATCGCAAGTTCGTTGCCTGAGTCTTTCGTTTTTCCTCGTTTTGTTTTTCTCATATTTTTTTCGGGCTTAGAATCTGTAGTCGGTTGTTGCCATTGATTTATTGTCCCATAATAACTGTTTTCTGCATTGTGCGTTGAACTGAGGGAACTTGAGGGAGCGAAAGAGACACAAAATGATCGATTTTTTGATGACACACTTAGCCGGAAGATTTCTGTGTGTTTTTCGGGTGTTATTTCTTGATCTTCTCCAGATCGCTTAATCTTTTTCTCTCTCCAATTCGGCTTTAACTTTCGCTACTCGCCGCTCTCGTTTGCTCAAAGACTTTTACTCTCTAGCCCAGCGCAATTACGATCATAGCTCTCACTGCTTACTGCTCTCACTTGAAGTTGTTGTCTTTGGCTTTAGTTTAGCTCTGAATTCGCTCTGTTTACTCCAGAAATTACCACCTAGTGCTGGCTCGCTCACTCGGCTTAGAGACGATGCTTCGGGTTTTTCGGTCTAACCAACTTCGAATGACTTCTTAACGGTTCGCTACTTAATGCCTCGCTTTTCGTACACAGAGGGAAAATGTAATAATTGTTTTTACAGGCTAATGTTAACAGTGCTAATTACTTTGGAGCAACTAAATAATTCTCTACAAAATTTTGTTTTATAATATTTGCAATGATTTAACATAGCACCATTTAGACTCTGTTAATCATTGAATAAAATAACAATATCTGATAATTAAAAACTTAAATAAAAATTTAATTTAAAAATGTAAAAAACATATTTTTCAAACTCTTATTAACCATGGAGATCATTTAATATTTACTTATTTTTAATTATTTATTTTGTGATTAAAAATATTAAGTATACAACTAGGTGGCTCCGAGAGTCACATAAATTTATTTCTTAATCAATACTTTAATCAAATCGCTAATTTAATTAATTTTGAACAAGCTGTAAATAGTAACTGATTAATAGAAAAACTACGTTAAATAGTTTTAAAAGCAGAATGTGAGTCGTCTCAAATTGAAATGTTTATTTTGCAAATGGAATTTTGGTTAGAAAAAATGGGGTAATTATGGGAAAACCTGATTGTAACTTTCAGACATTTCTTTTAGTAACGTTCTTTCAAGACTGATTTATTTGTTAGCTCTGAGAACTTTACGATTTATTTTTTTCCGTGTGGTAGTTAGTTTTTTGTCATCGCTGCGGCTCTCACACAGGGCCATTTCCCCCCACTTCCCCTTTGGAATTGCAGCTGTTATTGTCATTTTGCTTTTAGCAGCAGCTTCACCTCAACTTAGTTCAGTTCAGCTCGGTTCGCTTGAGCGTAAATTTCTGTGGTTTCCAGGCGATTCTTTTGGATACCTACCATAACGCTCCTCCTCGCCACTCTCCTTCTCCTTTCGGCTATCATCAGCATTTTCATCGTTGTCGTTATTGCTGGCGCTTTTTTGCTTTTTGCGATTTTTCTTTTAGCTACTCGCAGTTTTCCCTGTGCCATGCCTTCCACGCTTGTAGGGCTGCTCTGTCGCTAGATCTCCCATATAGCTATATGTATGCCGATAAATATATATATACCTATAGATATATACCACAAACTGAAACCGCAGCAGTCGGCCGCCGATATGATCTGATTTATTGTAGTTTCCCGACTTCTTGTTGTTGCCATCGTCTGTTAAAATATTTATTTACAATTTTCACAATTGGCATTTCAGTTCAGCGAGCTTGTCTCTGATTGTTTGATTGCATTGTTGCCATTGTTATTGTTGCTGTCGCTTTTGCCTTTACTGCAGACTGTTGCCCCACTTTTACTTATGCACATAAATAATTAGAGTATTTATGTTGTAAACTGCTTGATAACAACATTTGCATCGTTAGCCAAGTTAGCACAAGTATGCCTCAAGTTTTTGGGGGGCTCTCTGCGTGTGTTTATTTTAATTTGCCGAATGTGTTTCCAATTTCCGTTCTTCTTATTTAAGTACCAAACGAGAATGCAATAGTAAAACACTGCAGTAATGCTTAATTAAATCACAAACAGATAAAAGAACGACGTAACATAAGATAAGGTGATGAGGATTCCAGAAAATGTATTTTTAAAGAATCGTAACATTTGTTTTATTTGAAATTTAATAACAAGCTCAAAGGCATTACAAATTTAAAATCAGGATATGTTTTTTTTGTACCATTATGACTTTGAGTTTTTTATTATTAGTATTTTTCAACTTTCAACTGAACAGCTTTGTAACTAACTCAATAATCCACGTGACTTCCGGCCTAAAAAGTAATTTTTCCATATATGTATATTTTAAAATTTAAATTTAAATGTACTGGTTCGTTATTACAAGATATCACTGTACCATCATTAAATAAACCTAGTGTCGCGCCGTCATCTAATTAGCGGAATATTTTCGAACTGGTAAATGCGAATTTCTTCTGCATACTTTTCGGCGTGTAAATTGCGATCTCGCATGCGAGTTTTTTCTTTCTTATTTTGCGCTGGGAGGAAATCAACGCCAAACGCTTTTCCGTTTTTCCCAGGCAATAATTTGTTGGTCTTTGCCACCGCATGAGTTCTTAATTAGCCCGCAATGAGTTGTCGATACGCCATTTGCGAGTACATGAAATTCGGTTGAGTTTTTGCCCTGACATAACAATTTCGGCTTGTATAATTGGGGGCTGCCATGCCTCCTGTAAAGTGTTCTTTCGGTTTGAGTTCCTCTCTAATTGCATTTCCAAACGATGCCAAACGATTTTGTGTACTCATCTAATGGGGAAAAGGGTGCCAAAGGCTGAAGAGAAGGCAAAGGGTTGGCTTGGGTTTGGATTGGCAACGAGAGACAGATAATAAGCCGCTTGCCAGGCTGTCGTTAATTTGTGGGTGGCCAAAAACCGGCACAATTATCTGGCATGCGAGGAAAATGATAGAGGTCCGTTAATTGGCCGGAGGTGTTGGCCTGTTAACTGCCACAATTAAAATCAATGCCACGGCGACCCAAATCCGCAAGGCAACCAAAAGCCAGAAAGGGGTTAGATAAACGTATATACTCGTTGTTCCTAATCAGTGGGTACTGGCTTAAACATCAAATCTCTAAAATATTTAATTTTCTTGTAGACACAATTTAATTAACTAAAATTGATGTGTCCTCAAGCCAACTTAATTAAAAATAAATGGTTTATCGTAAACAAATGTTTATTGAATTTATATTTCATCTAAGATTAATTTATAAAAGGATTCAAGAAAGCCAATAATTTACTAAAAAAAAAATAAAAACTTTTTTTTTTCAAAATGTGTAAAAAATATTGTTATTAACCCAAGAAGTACATCAACAAAATGAGCTTACCCCTACATTTTCAAGAATTTGTATTTTAAGAAAATATACAAAATTATCATAAAAGCAGGCTCTGTTTGGAAAATCAACATAGATTAAGTTCACATACGAATTTGGCTCATTTCCAACCAAACACACTCCCAATTCCCAGCACCTTTTTTTCCAACATTATATCACATCCAACATGGCGCTCGTTTTCGGCGTGGAGAAGAAGACGGTGCCCACCTACATGAAGTACGTGATGGGCGGAACCTCGGGGATGCTGGCCACCTGCCTGGTGCAGCCAATGGACCTGCTCAAGACCCGAATGCAGATCTCGGGAACTTTGGGAACTCGTGAATACAAGAGTTCCTTTGAGGTTCTATCGAAGGTGATGAAGAACGAAGGCACTCTGTCCCTATATAATGGATTAAGTGCCGGGCTGATGAGACAGGCCACCTACACAACGGCTAAGATGGGAGTTTATCAGATGGAATTGGACTGGTACCGCAAGAACTACGAGACGGATCCCTCTTTGGTGGCCAGCATGTCGATGGGAATTGTGGCTGGTGCCTTTGGAGCCATGTTTGGAAATCCCGCTGAGGTTGCGCTCATCCGAATGATGGCCGATAACCGATTGATGCCGGAGGACAGGCGGAACTACAAGAATGTGGGCGACGCCTTTGTGAGGATCGTGAAGGATGAGGGAGTGATGGCTCTCTGGCGAGGATGTTTGCCCACCGTGGGTCGTGCTATGGTCATTAATATGGTACAGCTGGCCTCGTACTCCCTGATGAAGGACCAACTTCGTGGGTATCTCAACGAAGGGATACCCCTTCATCTGAGTGCCGCCATGATGTCGGGACTTTTGACCACCATGGCCTCTTTACCACTGGACATGGCCAAAACACGCATCCAGCAGATGAAAGTGATTGATGGAAAGCCGGATTACAGTGGCACCATCGATGTCCTGAAGAAGGTGCTGAAGAATGAGGGAGCTTTGGCCATGTGGAAGGGTTTTGCACCCTATCTAATTCGCATGGGTCCACACACTATCTTTTCGTTTGTCTTCCTGGAGCAAATGAACAAGGCCTACAACAAGCATGTGATTGGGGATTCACCATCCGATGAGGCACCTAAGAAACCTTAGCTAGAATATATGCAATATGTAGAATATCTTTTTCATCCCCACCACAAATTGAAATTGATTCGATATATCTGTGAAAAACGTGCAGTTCAGTAAAATAAGCATTCCTATATTATATACAAAAAATAGGGTTTATTTAGATGTCTAATAAAATAATGGCTTGCTTAATTTAATTTGAACTTAGCTTAACTTAACGTAACTTAATTCAAAATAATTAACTTTCAGTCAGTAAATTATTTCGAATTAAAATAGTTATTTTTGTATATTTTATAGGCACATAGGGATATCAAAGAAGGCTTGGTTCCCATTCCTAACTTTAACTGCCGGTTTATATTTTTCCGAATTTGTAACTACTTTTTTCTCGGGATATTTCCCATGTCGATAAAAACATCGCAGAAGCCTGAAAAAACTAATCACTTCTGAATTCTAAAAAGAATTCCCATTCTAAGCCTTTTAAAATTCTTTTCGGTTCATATTTTTTCCGAAATTCGAATTTTCCTAGTTAAATGTGTGTTTTCCCCCCGTTTTCGCCATGAGTTATTATGTTGAAAAAAAGTCCGTTCCCGGCTATATGATGTACATAAATGGTGGACTGGCCGGAATGATGGGCACTTGCATTGTACAACCCTTGGATTTGGTGAAGACCCGAATGCAGATTTCAGCCTCCACGGGGGAGTACAAGAACTCCTTGGATTGCCTGGTGAAAACCTTTAAAAACGAGGGCTTTGTGTCCCTGTACAATGGACTGAGTGCGGGTTTGATGCGACAGGCTACTTATACCACTGCTCGCATGGGATTTTATCAGATGGAGAATGAGACGTATCGCAAGCAGTTCAATGAACCGCCCACCGTTTTGGCCAGCATGGGAATGGGAATTTTGGCTGGGGCTTTTGGTGCGATGTTTGGGAATCCCGCCGAGGTGGCTCTCATTCGAATGATGTCCGATAATCGTTTGCCGCCGGCGGAGAGGCGTAACTACAAGAATGTGGGCGATGCCTTTGCGAGGATCGTCAAGGATGAGGGCGTGACGACGCTCTGGAAAGGATGTATGCCCACTGTGGGTCGCGCCATGGTCGTCAATATGGTTCAGCTGGCCTCGTATTCCCAGCTGAAGAATGCCTTCTCTCAATACTTTTCAGGACTTCCTCTTCACATCTCTGCCGCCATGATGTCTGGATTGCTGACCACCATTGCCTCAATGCCGCTGGACATGGCCAAAACTCGTATACAACAGCAAAATTCGGGCGAATACAAGGGCACCATGGACGTGCTGATGAAGGTCTCCAAGAATGAAGGGGTTACCGCTTTGTGGAAGGGATTTACACCCTACCTCTGTCGCATTGGACCGCACACCGTGTTTGCGTTCATCTTTTTGGAACAACTGACCAAGGCCTACAAGCGCTTTGTGCTCGGTGACGATTCCGAATCCACTATCTAAGCTAACTAGTCGAAATTTACCGTCATTACTTATTTGAACATTTGTTTTAAAAATTTTAGTTTGAACACAAGTTGCCAAGAAACCGTTACACTTGTTTTCAAGTTTGCAAAATTGTTTTAAGACCTCTAACAACTCCTATTTTGTTGATATATTATTCTATGGAGAATTAGGTTTTCAATTTTGTGGAGACGTTTTTTCTCCCTTTCTTTAATAACTGTTCGAGCATCCTATACAATGTTCCCTGAAAATATATTTCAATTAAATTTATCTTAATAGATATTGTTGTTGTTTTTTCTTTAATGAATATTTTTGAAATATATTCTATTCTATTTTTTAAGATTTATCTGATTAAAAATTTTTGTTACATTTTTTTTAAAAAATGATTATTATTTGTAGAAAATTACCAAGACCAGACTGGATACGAACTATAATGTACTATTTAAAAAACAAAATATTTCATTTGGCTAAACATTTTTAAAAATATTTCATTCCAATTTAGAAAATAATTCAATTCTTAAATCGCGCTATCATTTTTTTCTCTCGCATGCTATAAATGATCCCCATACTGGATCCATCCGTCCCGCTCCAACGGTCCGATCAGCTGGGCTTTGTTTTCCGTGGGGCTTTGCGGCGCTTATCAGTCGCTCGATCAGCCGGTCCGGTAATCTGGCCGAGTCAGTTGCGTTCCTACGTTGCGATCGAGCGGTTCGCGAGCGGTTACGGTTGATTCGGATCGGGATTCCTTATAGCTGAGATATATATCTCTTCTGGCAGGGAGCTGAGCAACAGCGTCTCTCAATTGAAGCCACTTAAGTTTGCCGGCGGCGGAGATCTTGTGAAGGAAATCTCTCACTTGGGCTTTGGGATGAATCAACCGTTGAGTTCATGCCGCGGAAGTGTTAATTTAGCGTCCAAATACGACTTGTAGAGATCAGCTCAGAAAAGTGCTCTTTGTGTGCCGCATAAATCGTGCCTGAATATAATAAATATTACAAAAAATATGCAAATGAAATTATGTGTGCGCTACCCTACGAGATAGACACATAAATCGGTAATTAAGTGATAATTATTTATGGTGTGAATTGGACCGGACATTTGGCCAACCTTTTGGGCGCTGTAAATCGCTGGAATAGCCAACGGAAACACAGGTGAGCTGCTTGCCGATAAGAATCTGTATCTATCTCGATTTTATGGCGGCACAGTGGGCACTCCTCCAGATTGTGGCGATAGGAACGATTCGATTCTATCGCTGACGCCTCCGATCGAGTATGATTGATTGATTGCTTGAATCTCGAGGAAATTTACGAACGGTTCATTGATAGCCCAGCAAATTTGTCATAAAGTCTGGGCCGCTTATAGATTGAGTGTTGGAAACCCCGCGGGAACCTCTAGTTTATTATAATGGGTACTAATAAAGTTCATGGGTATATTCTTGCTTGAGAGAAAAGAAAACGATGCCGACACAATAAAATATATATTAGTTAGACATTAGATATGGAATACATTTTTATAATAATATAAGAAGTCGTCTGATCTCAGGATCTATGAAATATATAGTTACAATATTTGCTTGTCTAGATTGTAAAATAATTTGGTTGTCGTATGCCAAAAATGCTGTAAAATTATACACAGTTCTTTAGATCTCAGGATCTGTAAAATATATAGATACGATATGCGTTAATCATAATTTTAGGACAATTTTTTGTCGTATACCAAAAATCTTGTAAGTTAATAAGATGTAAGATGTTTAAGAAAGTAATCCCACCTCTTCGCCTTAAGAGAAAGTAGTGTCAACCCACTATTTAGGTGATTTTGGTTGGGTAAACTAATAGTACCGGGTATCTCAGCTGTCGCAATCCTATAAAACCTCCTTTTAAATTTCTTTATTAGAATTATGACCTCATAAATCCGTATATATGCAGATGAATGTTGCTTATCTCGCAGTTTATCTACTTGCATGCTAGCCATATTCACAGTAAACTGCAATTTCCCCAATCGTTTGATTTGACACTTCGATTACCGTTGAGGGAAAACATCTGAAATCTGAATGCCAGGTAATTGCTGTTGTTGTCAGGTGGGGAATTGTCTACTGGGCTGGGCGTGGGGTGTAAATTATTTGGCATTTATCATTTGAATCTATGATAATCCCCACAGTGCTTGTGGATATTTACCTCAGATAGCAGGAAGATAATGACGCGCAAGGTTTTGCTCTAGTTCTATTTAATTACTTCTTGTTGACTTTTTTCTTAGGGCAATTAAAAGTTTCTAATGTTTGCTAGAAATGGTAATTACGCAAAGCTAGGTATTACGATGGTCGAGAGCAAATAATAAACACTTTTTAATATTTATCCAAAGCTTAACTTAAAAAAAATCTGCACCATTTCTTTCGGTAGCAAATTTAAATAATAGAACATTATAATTAAATTTAAATTCTATTAAATTCCAGCCGTCAAACTAATTGCTTTTCTACCGTTTGAAGTCTATTTGTTTTCTATACATACACACATTTATCCATTTTCATCCATCGCTTTGTGGGCAAAGACAGCCCAAACGATTTGTCGGGTTATTTGAACTAGAAATTCTAATTAGCTCCATGTTGTCTGCATATTAATTTGTCAATAAATGACGGAAAATAAACAATGAGTAGCAGCCGAGCACGCTCCACTTGGCATTTCGAGTTTTTTCCCGATTTGTTGTTTGTTGAAATTTTAATTTGAAATCAAGCGGCATAAATCAAATTAAAATGCAATCACCCTTCCGACTACGAAACTTAATAATGTAGTTAATGTTTGGTTAGAGCGATTAATGAGTGGACAATTGGTAGGGCAAACAGAAAAGTGTCAACAAAAAACTGAACTCGCGGTTGACGTTGTGCCAATATAAAAATATATAGTGACAAATTAAATATCACAATAATCGAATTAAGTGAGGTGAGCAGATTATTATTTTTTAATATCCGACAATCAGATACTTTTTTATGCATTTTAATTCAAATCGTAATTAAATAACGATGTAGATAGAATGAATTTTCATTTCATTTATAATTCGGTCATGTTTTAACAATTTTTAAAATAAATTCAAAATAATCATTTAATTTGTAAATAATTTTAAAAAGCAGGAAGGAGCTTTGCCTAAATTCTAAAAACTTATTGATTTTTAAATAAATACCTTAATTTAATAAAGATTTATATGAAAAGGGTTATCACTTCTTTGGAATATAAATAGTTTATTTAAATAATTTTTTGAGTAAATGTTAAATTATCATTTAATTTTTTAAACATTTTAAAAAGCCTGATGGGCCGTGTAAGAAATCTTAATAACATATTTTGGCGTCTCAAGTCTAAACAAGTCTAAGTGACATTTTACACTACACACCCTTCAGCATTTTAATTAATGTTTAATATAGATAACAGAACACATGCTCAACTTCAAAACTAAATTAAGTGGAACTAATTCGTGTTTTAAAGGTGTAACTGCTGAGTATCTTGTCACAGTGATTGTACTCGGTTTTACACTTTTCAGTTAGTGCTTTGCAAATTGAAATGACAAAGCTTCGGACAGACAACAGACAGTGGGCACACGTCTGCTGGTATTCGTGTGTATCTGTGAGTCTGTGTCAAGTCATTACCATATAGCCCATAACGGGCAGACAAAAACCGCACGTGATCTAAGTCCCCCAGTTGATATTGTTATTGCTTCGCTGTAGCAAAAACACCCGCACACACAACTGCATCTATAACTGGTTTAATAAGCTCGCTCGATCACATGACAACAAGATCAGTGGTTTGAACACCAAGCGGGGCTTTTTTATATGTTTTCGAGCATCAAATGCAATTAACTAATAAGCAAATTAACGAATGCCTCTAATGAATTCACAGCAATAATAAAAACCCATCTCAGCGAAAGCACGCGAAAGCCGGGGTCAAAGGTCAATCGCCAATTTTTCGTTTGACCGAGCCGCGCAAATCTCACATGTCATCGTTTATGACAAAAGAGACAAGCATAATACTGATGTATAAGCACAGTTAACAAGTGTGTAGTGAGAAAAAAACATTTCTTAGAATTAATAATCGCATTTTCAGACTTTTTAGAATATATTAAATTTATATGATAATTTAATATATTAATTCAAATTCAAAAAAAAAAATTTATATACAAAAAATGATAAATCCTCTTTATCTTTTCATTAAAATGTATTTCTACAATTTAATATTAATTTTTTTATTTAGCGAATAAATTGCGTAAATAAATTTATTGACAAAAAAATAATAGATTTTTACTTTAGCATTTTAATAAAAGGTTTTATTTTCCCTTTTATTTTAACCAAACTTACTTTCGTAAAATTATCTAAATAATTATATCTTATTTCAGACTGCTAAAATATTTTTTTAAATATTTTCTAATATTTTTCTAAAACACAGCTAGAAAAATGGAAATAATTATTTTATTTTCCTATTTATTTTGTCAGTGTTTTCGTATATTTTTGTTCTCCCACTGATGGGCAACAGATAAGCCGCAGCAGTAGCAACAAAATAGAATTGTGGCTGTCATCTGGTCTTGGGGATCTTGGGACACAATCATTATCGTGGTTGCCCAGATGCGTACACACTCGTGCATGGCCACAATTTGTCTACGAACGGGATCGCGAGAGTTGCAATTTTCGAATTAAGACAATTGCCTCACGAATTACGGAGCAGAGAGATGCCCAGTCTAGATTCGCGACCCAAGTTTCTCGTTTCACTTCTCCGTACAAAATAATCAATGCCAAAAGTAATGCAAATTTTTTGTGACAGACTCTTTTTTCGTGTGTCGCTTTGTCGGGCGGCTGCCAAAAATAAATTGAATTTTAAATGAGCGGCAAAAACCTCAGTAAAAGTCATCAAATATTTAGATAACACGGAGGACTGCGAGGGCCAAGGCTAGACATAAGATATGGGAGGACATTGGACGGGCACGATGCTCTAGAAAAAATGTACATTTCAATGACATGGTAATTGGAGAATAAACAAAAAAAAAAGGAAATATTGGAAATCAAATTTGTAAATTAAACATGTATTATGTTTCTTTTATTCTTAAAAAAATGTAAAATAAATATTAACCAAATGTTAATGTTAGGTACAGATTAAGTATAAATATTATATATTTATATTCATTATAATGAAATATTACACTAGTTCGAAATACCCCAAGTAATCTGAAGAGTAAAGTATCTTGTAAGGGGGTAACTAAACAAATCTGAGAAATCTTAGTCCCTGGCCTTTTGTCTTCCAACACGAC